AGTCATTCACGAGTTATACAAAAATTGATTCTAAGTTTCAAACCTCATGGATTGATGTAATCTCATCGTTATAAAACTCTTTATCTGATGAGTGAGATCTCTAAAAAAAACTTTTGGAATTTGGAAAACAGTTAATTTTACATAATCAGATGGAGATTCATTCTTTTTAGAACATAAATAGTCACTGTTTTTCATATTCAACTGTAATAATAGTTAAAAGTGATGGCACTGTGAGATTTTTTGTAATAATTAGATTGACGTGCAGAACATTCTTCCAGACATATTGAAAATTCTTCACATTGATAGATGTACAAAAGACGACTTTGAATTCTTCAGCATCACTTCGAAACTTATTCAACATTAGTATGTCTTACTTGTTTGATTGAATTTAGAAGTTTACATTGGAAACGAAAAAAAGAAATATTTGCATACTGATGATCGATTGCCTCAAGTGAACCTTTAAAATGTCGTCACGTTGTTTTTTTTTGAAAAATTTCGTAGCGTTAGTCTAAGAAGCAATCTAATTTAAATATTGTTAATCGAGTCAGAGTCATCAGAAATCACATGAAGTAATCGAGGTTTTACATCTCTTATTATGAACATCATGAGTGACTTACTCAGTAAAGAGAATTATCATAAATGTTGCAATCCAAAATCTGTTTGTAAATTTTCTTAGAATCTAACTGATTACTAATGAAACCAGTGTATTCACACGAGTCATATATCATTCAATAGGATGTAACATTATGCCTTGAAGAATGTATGATTCACAAGTGACTTCTTTACTCACACGAATCACCATGGATTTGACGAAAAATGGTCATTTTTTCTATGACACTTATCAAATATATATAATTACAAGGATGCTTTTGTATCTTAACCACTCATGGAAGACCTCCTGGAAATAAGTTTAACTCATTTGATAAATTTTCTCCAATATAAAACCAGTAAAATCGCATAAATCAAAAAACAAAACTATGGATTTCAACCGATTCGCATATCACTAACGCATTGATACGTCTTGGAAGATGCCTATAAAATCCCGTTAGAACAGAACCTTAAAGCTTTTAAAACGAGATTTTTGTATAAGTATGTCTGACCTGATTGTGAAGTCTGAAGGATTCTGTTCATCTCATACCTGCATGTTAATAACTCATTGAAAAGTGGTGCATGTAAGTTCTAAGAGTCTATTCAGCTGACACCCATCATTTTTCGAGCATAAAATTGAGTTTCCATCTATGCGCGTCTAAGAAATTGAAACATTTACAGGTATTAAGCGTGACTTACTTTTAATAAGTTATGAGTATCGACTTCCGATAACTCGTAATAATTTAAACATACTGCTCGCAGAATTCTGTTTAAAAGTGACAGCTGTTACTCGCATTAAATTTAATTCATAGTGTGAGTAGTTTCTGTATGTATGATGCAACAATGACGAAATTATTAATATTGTGCTGCAGCTATGAGTACGTACCATTGAGTGATTAGTTATAGTAGTTAAGTTCCGGTTTCTGCTCTGTGAGATGCAGTAATCAATATGCAGTTTGTAGACTGTGAATTGTGAGTTGAAATCATCAGCGCTTGTTAAGTATCAATTTTGAGTTTTCGTCAGTAACATATAGAAAAACTGTCAGTTTTAATGAGATGTGTCATGAAGTTTCTATTGATGAGATCCAAGATTGGGTGATCTATTATGCTTTGTGGGCTGATGTAATTGAGGGCGTAACCATTCTCAGATTATATACTATAGGTTATGTTAGGTAGAATATACATGCGAGTGTATAGTATGGAATTTTCCATAGAAAATTTGTAGTATATTTTCGGTGTAACTTTTAACTGTGTCCCTTCATATGCTTTCGCTCTTTCTATCAATATTCCTTTATTAGTACTAAAATGAATAATATAGCTCAAAAGTTTCTTTTTCCTTGCCCTTAACACTATAGCACTGGAAATATCTTTGCAGCTCATCAATAAAGAAAACAATGATGAAATGAATGCTTGGATTTTCCAAGAAAAATAAATCTGACATATGATTCTGCCAAAGACTTTCCTGGTTTTCATCAATTAAATATAAGCTTGATATCAGATTCTGCATACGATTCTTGATAACTCTGTATAAAACATTTTAAAATCAAAGTTTATTATTGAGAAACAGATAATGTCAGTTACTATAGTTTATGAAGTAGTGTTTTGTTAAAAATTGATTGGAAAATTTGACAAATTTTGATTTGCAATATTTTATGATCAATTTTCATATATTTACAAGGGCTGAAAATAAGAAAATTTTCTATTCAATCATAGAACTTAACGTACATACTTCTATACAAGTCTATGAATATCAATAAAGTTGTTCTAAGAGTTCCTATCACTGTGAGAAGCTTCTCTGAGGTGTTGCTTTCAATATTTTCATTACAAACAAAACTAATATTTTATAGAGGTCGATTCAAAAGCATTTAGTTTTATGAAAGATCTGAAAATGTCATAATACATTTTAGTCTTGAGGGTGTGAGTTGAGTTTAGTTTGCAATGAAAATTTTGAAAGTAGTACATCAAAGAAAGCTATCCAATTGATATGAATTCATGATGAATTTTATTGAACTCTAAAATTGCATTCGAATATTTGCATTAACTTTTAAGATACAATCGAAGAAGTTTTTAATACAATACTGCCTTAAAAAACATGGCAATTAAATTTATCTTATTCTTCAATCCAACATATTTCTTAATAACTTTTGGTTTTAAAATTTTGTATCCAAGGTTATAAAGAATTCATCTTCATGTTTTTTTTTATTTTTAATAAGGGGAGATATGGTATATCGAGCAGGGTATCGTAGAACAATGTCTTTCTATGCCTAATTTCAAGAATACGAAAGATATTTTAAATGTTTTGTTCCAGGTTTAACATTTTCAAATGGCTTACAGCAATATTCACAAAAAAAATTCTGCCTTACGCTTCGCCGATGTGGGTACATTACCAAAACGAATGTTGGCACCTATTGAAGGTTATGAGAAAGCACCACTTGTAACACTCGAGGAAGCTGTGAAGCCTCTTGTCAACATTGTACCTAAAGTCGAACGAAATGTATTCGTAGTCAAACAGAACTGTCAAAAACCAGAAGATGGTTTAAACACTGACGAATCAGCTTCGATTATGCTATACACTTATGAATCGATGCCACATGAAGATTCCCTGTACGTGAAACTTAATGAAACTTTACGATCCGAACAAAGAAAAAATTTAATCCC